GGCAGTTATGGAAACTGAGAGGCTAGATATTGAAGACTACCATTTTGATACATCAGCGTCACTGTATCATGGTTGCGCATGGGCTTGAATACTGCCAGAGCGCCCGGTCCTAGACAGGAACCAGTGCCGCAGACTAATTTACTGAGCCATGTCTGCCATTTCTAGTGATCATTGGTGTACTGGGTCTCTGGGTCCCTATCCAGAGAGGCGGCAGCTGTCGACCCGACTCAGTTTACTAGTTAGTGTTTTCATGTTTCGTTGCTAGGTTGTAGCTCTCTCCATGGAGCATGGGTAACTCATCCAATGCGAGGGAGTTTGTTTTACCTAAAACAAACTGATGTACCTCAGTATTGCTAATCTGATGTTCCCACCGAGCCCGACCAATGCTTTGGGAACACCGATGGGCCATAGGTGCCGAAGGTTGGTAAAAGCTCACCTAGCATTCCCTATTCACATAAGTATTCTCACCTTCAACCAATGCACCTGAAATTGTACATCTACCCATGTAAACAAACTTATCTGCCACGTCGATTGGCCCATCTGCAAGCAAAATGTTCGGGTATGATCCCTCCCAGTCTTGTAGTAGTAAGTAACACTACGTACGTGTGAATCGCTGCAGCACTTTTTCGGTGCCTAGCTGTCTAGCCAAGCAAAGGAAGCACGAGGGCTGGGATAATGCCGGGTTGCCCAAGCCTAGACAGGGGAAGTCGAGAGGCAGAGATGAGTTCGAACTACGGACCTTCCTGTCAATAAAGGTCCGTGGTTGAAACCCAACCACTACCTACCACCTCTGTATACCAAGACGTGTGGCAGGATTCATTAGATTTAAAATGAGCTAGACTGTTGAACAGCGTGAACTAAGCAGAGCACTATAGTTCGCGTATGCCTGCGAGCGAACGCTCCGGGAGCATTTCGACCAGAGACAGAGGAGAATTTAAAGCAGCACATCAATAACGAGGTTGGAGGGGAATGATGAGAGAGGACAATCTTGCCTTACATCACAGGTGATGAGCTCGGGCGAAAGCTTGGTGTATATTCGTTCGCACCCATAGGATTTCGCAGTGTCAGCATAAAGGATATAGATTTAAAAGGGATACCTATGGTCAGTCAAGGCGCTCTAGTATTCTGCTTCCGTTCCAGATCTTCCACAGTTGAGTCATCCGACTACTGATCATGACCTCTTCTTTGAAAAGTGCGGGATGCAGACCATCCGGGCCGCATGCCTTATCGCGTTCGAAGAATGATATAGTAAACTGGATTTCTGTTACTGACGGTGGGTGGGTGTCGATGTTCGATTCCGGATCACCGCGTCCTTCAAGAGATTGCTGTAAGGAGCCAACCAAACTGTTTTTTAGCCTTTGACTCGTCGGATTTACAAGGCTCTGGAGGGATGTATGGTTTTGTTCAGGGATCCTGTTCCTAGCCCCAGAACCAAAGTCTGAACCACGAAACTGGTTGTTAAAGTTCTCTTGAGAAAACCTTCCAAAAACAAATGAATCAACGGTCTGACGCACTTGGCTGCAAGGGCCTGGGCTGGCCCTAGCACGCGCGGAGTAAGACATTATGGTCTCGTACCTTATCAGGCTGTGCAGCAACGCTGCATTTCGCTGGACACCTGGAAGAAACACCTTACTAAATTCACACCCTTATCGCAGAGGACAATACAACTTTACTTCCGGCTCGTAACATGATTCCTCGAATGACGGGAACTCGCTGTTCTTCGTCGAGTTGCTCCCCATTGGCCTTCCTGGCACAGTCGAATCTTGAGGAAATGAGTTCCAGCAAGTATAGCCAGCACGATCATCGCAGTTGTCCCCTCGTACGGCACTGAAACATTGATCATGAGCCGAGGCAACATCTTGTAATTGGGGACTTGGTGTTTGCATTACAGACTAAAACCAACCAAAATGTCACAGCACTGTTGATGGCGCCAGATGTGACTTCCAATTATCATCCTGTTAGTGGGATAAAACCGAATCACAAGTAACTGAAATGGGTATGTAGATGTACTCTGAGTCTAGCTTGCTAATATTGCAAACCCCAGTCTATTCTGAACGGACACCATTGTGTTCAACTGCCATTTACCAGCAGATTCCTCCGGGACATTCAGGGGTGTGGAACCTATAACAGCGATATAAGTGACATTCTGTGACCATCGTTGTGTGAACGAAAATGGATAATTGCTAGCTGGCCATATGTTGCCCAGAGCGCATCTCATATGTGGTACAGGCCACAAATCACTTCCGCATACGCTATGCCCACCACTCTAGCCTAAAAGAGCCGTATGTGATTTCCCCCGGAGAGTTACTAGTTTGGTGTCCCGGCTGAACGCTGGTCTTTGGTGCCACCTCACATCTGCCTTATGTATGTTTTATTATCTTGTAATGTCTTGTTTGGAGCGGTGATTCACCGCTATCCATTCCATTCGTGTATCCATTCGTTCCATTCCATCGGTTTCGTATATCCATCAGCAACTGACCCGCACTAACACCCGGACTCTTCGGAATGCGAAGCACACAACGAGGCAAGAGGTGACTCTCTGTGACTGCCATAGCATGGAGCTATTTGAGGTGTGTCCAGGATGTGTTTCATGAGCGACCCGGGCAATCAGATGACCCTATGCATGCACAGTGGGGCTCAACTTAAACTGACGGTTGTGGGCTACCAGACAGACAGTCTTATCCCCTCGGGTTTATATCAGATACAGGGCGTCCTCAGTGCCAAACACATGTAGCCCCACCTATTGTTCTGAGTGCCAGGCGAATCCAAAAACGGATGCTATACCACTGTGTGACAGAAAAAAGATGATTATGTAACCAGTTAATGTTGCTGGATCTGTTCATCCCGTGAGCTAAAACACATTTGTTTGCGAAGTCGATAGAGTTAGTGACAGAAGCTAATCAGAACGGTCCTCTGAAATAATTTGTTGATATTATTCGTTAAGACGTAATGCACTTCCGGTGCCTAGCAGCTACGCCACCTGAAGAAAGCATGACAACCGAGATACAGCCAAGCTGCCCATAACTAGATATCAATCGAGGTACCGGGATTCGGTTCAGATCACAGACTTTTTGATCCGTAAGTTCGCACTGTAGCTACGGAAGCCCAAGCTCAACGGTCCTCCAAAGCATTCCCATAGACATCGTAACATCAGTGTTCAACACTGATGCATCGCCACCATACGATGACGATCAATTTGAGGGCTTTGTTGTGAAAATAATAAAAGTGAACCGGAAAGGAAATTTGTGCTAGCCCGCCACAATCATCCCGAGGTGCCTACAACTCTAGAAACACATTTGGGCAACAAGGATACAAACGGATGACAAGGTTATTCACACCGATCAACAGCCACATCTTACGGTGTCCAACCAGGCTCGGTGGGGCTCACGAGATGCCCATTCCTCCGAAGCAGCCACGAAACCACCAGGGTGCCAACTTTTGTGATACGTGGAAATGGAAGAAAGTGAATAGCTCAAGCAGGCGCCGTGTCATAAGCCGTCCAACAAACTGCTAATCATCATACCATCTTTCTGCATGGGTCTTGCACCTTCACAGTGAAAGGCCTAGCTTCCGGGCATGCAGTTTCTTAAGATGCCTCTTACTATTCATGCAAAAGCATTACAGTTGTGGAGAAGTTAACATACCTCTGGTTGTATTAATCATCATCGTCATCACGACTGATGCCTGGCTGCCGCACTAGTTGTATTGGGTGCATTAAGTAGTGGCCCAAAATCACGTTTACCAACTCGCGTGACCTGTGGCCTCAAAAAGACATATCACTAGGTCCCAAGAGTTACGCGTATAAAGCTACATTACGGACTGTGTTTTTATGTGGTTGCGAGACAGCCTCCGCGGACACTTGACGTGAGGCTTTTACTAGGGTTTTACCATCGATGCTTCAGAAGTGTTGATAGAAGCAGATTGAGCAGACGAATCCGTAACGAGAAAAATGGGAAACGGCCACTTGGTTGTACAGCAGGTGCTTCAGTCACGAAACATCAACAGTGGTGGTCCGGCCAAGTGCTACGCATGTCTGAATATGGTCAACCAAGATAAGCATTGTGCTTACTTCCTCCAGAATCGCACAAACCGCGAGGTGGACGTGTGACTTGACAAACGGGCGTGAAAGAGATCGCAGAGTTCAGATCCGGTTCGCCTTCCAGTATGGGTCCTCACGAACTCACTCCCGCGCTTGACGGGACACTACGAGAAGTCGTGGCTAATTAAAGTCAGTATTTTTCAGGACTATCTGATTGAGTGTTTGGAGGTGTGGACATCCTAGAATTCTTGCGGCAGGTTAGCACTTCCCTGATACACCCAGAAGTAGGACAAAAGGTTTTGCAACAGAGTAAAACGAAAATGAGCAACTTGAACACACATTAGCCAGGTCCGTACTCGGATGTAGTAATTGAAAATGAGGGAGGATAAAACTGATGCATATGCGTCAGGTTGAGTCAATCGTCATCCAGAGTGGAGCGCAGGCGACCACAAGTAAGCGACCGAGGCTATCGATGGGGAAACTAATGGATGCGTCTCGCTGTGCACATCAGGGTTAAATATACACGTGCTTGACTGAAGCGTTTGGTCTACCGGAAGCTTTTTGGCGTTTACTTAAGCTATGATCACATGGTGACTAGCACTGTTACTGCTACTCCCGTTGTCGACGCCACCCAATCAAGTTTGGTGGATTTCAAATCCTCCGTTTCAGAAAAGAGGCCCCAGAAGTTACGGAGAATGGAGGCTACAGAGTAGCAAAGGGAATTAGAACATTTTTGTAAAGAGCGTGCAGAATGGATAGTCAGTAAATCGACATGCAGCGGCTAGTTGGACCCCCAGGTTGAGCCGCACATGTGAAATCGGAGTCCAGGGGCAACAATGTAGCTCACTGGACAACCAAAAATATGGGAGGTTCAGTAAAGAAAAATATAGAGCCAAATATTATTTCCTTTACGTTATCTTATTTGGGGCTCACCAGCATCAGATTAAACCTACTAACTTACCTCGAGGATTAACTGAGTATCTTTTGGTATTTCTTTCATTATATCCAAGGCTCTTTTCCATAAGGTTAACTCTGGAACCCTAGCGCGCTGGGTGTATTTGACGATCTCTGCCATAGGTAGCTGGTATCTCATGATGCGTTGGACTGGTTGCATGAGATAAGACACGACATCTTCCTTGTCATTTAGATACAATCGTAATTCCTCAAAATAGTCGCGGTACTGCTCAGCTATGAGCGCTGCTTTACGATGATTTTCACAATATTTCGAATATATCGAACGAAGTCGTGAACGCGAGTCAATGAACAGTTTGGGTATTTTATCTGGTTCGGAGGTAACAAAACTGGAGAGCTTTTCTAGAAACGCTGAATGCCAGTCGCACAATTGGATCCAATTTCCCCAGAGTATTCGCCAACGGGCGGCCAGGTCATCCGGCACAGTGGGTGGAGGTGGCAAGGTAGTGGAGGACTCGCGAAGTGGCAAATTATTCACTGAGCTGTTTCCACCGGGTAATGTGGCAGCATCCGCAGAGGATGGAGTGGTGGGAGCTCGAGCACTGGAAACAATAGGTATATAAAACTCCTTAACCATGCGAAGACGACGCACGTATCCCTCTTCGGAACTAACGAGTTCCATTAACGGTTGTCTTCGTTTGTCTAATGCAGCAGCCACCTCGTTGTTCAGATCTGCTTCTTCCGAAAACGTCCCAACACCACCATTGTCCAGTAAGCCCGAGTCCGCCTTCCAATCTTCCGTAAGCTGGTTTGACAAACCTGTATCGTCGGGTGTTGTTGCGTCACCGTCCTGAAATATATCAGTTTTGTCGTGACTTTCGCCGGCCTCAATAAGTGCAGAATCATGGCATTTGGTGGATGGATCAACATTGATTTCGGAAGGCTGTTCGCCAAGGAAGTTTGATTCCAGGGACGAGTCGGCCATGATTATGTCATTCACACAGGGGAATGATGGTTACATCACTACGAATCCGAAGATGGGTAAAAGCATAGAAAATGCGGGTGAACTCATGTTGTTACAATATCTACAAATAGACTCCAGCGAAATCTACGATCGGCAGGCTGGACCGGTGAACGGACGATAACTATACTGAATTCTCATTGGCTGGAACTGGTGCTGGCTTGGCACCCAGCACCCCAAAAGTCACTACAATTAGTTGTGGTTCCGATTGGTGTGCTCCTTTTATTTACTCAATGAGTTACATGTGCGCCGAAATCTAAGAAGTGCTGGAGTTGTGCTATTACCAATATCTCACTTAAGGCCACTTGTTAAACCACCCCGAAACCCAAAATCGCCGCTGGGCATTCAGTATTCGCATAATGAAACCGAATTTTCGGAAGCAGTGTCGTGCCCCTCGTGGATTAAAGCAATCGGGCAATTGGGGTTTCACAGATTCACGGATTGATACATAGGATCGAGGCCTTTGCCCAAGTTTCCTGGGTCGGTTTTGTTCTTGACGGTCAGTGGCGGTCGTTCAGCTTAAAGGCACAAGAGTAACAGTCCAAACGTTTCAGCCCGGAGTCTCGGCGATGCTGGGAAATTAGTCGACCAGACTTTTCTGCCAGAGGTAAGATTTCTCCAGTGAGCGAAGAAGTTTGGTGAGCTGCAAAAATATGAACGCAGATTACTATGGTTTCCGGTTTGAGCAGGTGGGCAACAAAATGCAACATTTTGGCGCAAAGTTTCAACTCCACTCATGGAAGCTTTATACCTAAGCGCACTGTGCGGCTAGTGGGCCCCAGGCCACTGAGTTCATCCGACCCACTAGATACGACAAGGTATCCGTAAATGGCTAAGGTGTTGCCGTAGATTTTTGTGCAAAAATAACGTCCTGGGAGGTATATCAGTCAATAACACGAAGGGTGTCTCAAATACCGCCCACATCACATCAGTAGGTAGCTAGACCCAATGTGGTGTATCGCATCTTTCCTTTCCTTCCATTAAACCACTACTAATTTGGCCAATCGCTTAAACGTTTCTTGTTTGAATACAAAAAACTACAAAAACCGCGAACTTGTACAATTTCACGCAATACAAAACGTGGTCACGTACTTCAACTCTTCTGATTTCGCTCGCGTTTGCGGCGGTCATTCGCGGGGCTCATAAGCTAACTGTGGTATCACAGAATTTTAGACTAAGTTCGGAATCACTTTTATGTGGGGACCGTTCAGAAGAAGACCCCTGGAGAATCATGATTGGATTAATATTCATTCAGTAACCTGGGCCAACGAAGAACTATTCTAAAGAGAACAATTCTTAGTGAGTCTGTTCAATCTGGCCGCCTTAATACTGTGTACTCAGTCTGGCGTTATTATTTTTATTTCATTGCCACACGCTCCTTGTAGAGTAACTTATCTTGTAGCCGGACCACTACAACATAGTCCGGCGATGTGAAGAATGAAGTGGCGACGACATTGTAGGTGACTGTGATGGTGGGTCAGTCCCAGCAGTTAACGCCCAAGCTTGCTAATATCTACAAACTTAAACAGTGAGCGACACGATCCAATCAGGAATTAAACGTTAAGATAAGTTAGCACTATAGACCATGGCGCTTCCTGGCTGAATCTTTCGTGTGGGGTAGGTTGTGAAGCTCATGAACCAGAGCGTTATACTTTTCTCTGCCGACTCATGTGTGTAGGGTGTAGTGTAGAGCGCATTGTATGTCGCCACCAAGATCAGATTAAGCGGCAGTTCCCGGAGTTATTTTCTGTTTGATGGTGCGTGTTTTTGAGTGCCCATTTTGTTTGGCAGTTTCGGAGCAGCGAATGAGCAACATATTATGCTGGTCTTTATTGAAAGGTGAATGGATTTCCACGGACCAGACGTAAACCGCCATTAGATTTCTTCGAACTTGATGTGGTCGTGGACCACCCCATTTCTCTCCAGGAATCTGATAGCGGCGATAAGTCCAAAGGCAAAGACATTATCGAGCACTTCGTTCATTAAACCTAGAAATAGTGGAGACTCAAAAAGAAACCCGTTGAATATCCATTCCGTGATACCCATTCGGCGGTTTATGCGTGAAAACTTAGGCGTGAAAAGTCAGAATTGGCCTTATTCATCTATCTACAACGGTTAAAGATCCAGTCCTATGTAGAAGAAGAGAAGCTAAACTCGGGATCTCGGGAACACTTTGGACAATGAGCGCAGGGAGCATTCACTTGCTAGCTCACATCTCTGAGTGTAAATGGAGGGAATGAAGGGCTCGCCTCCATTATTGATCGTGTGCGCCGCATAAAATTGTGGTCCTTGAATCTTTCTTGTAAAGGTGGCGCGGTCTTAGCAATCAGAGCCTGTTTTCAACACCAGTTTTGAGCCGGACATGCCGAAAAATCCTAGGGATGCAATATTGGTCGAGACCAAGGTCTTGTATCACAGAAGGAAGGGGGCGTCAGAGTGAGATTATTAGCGACTTGGCGGAGGAGATGCTTTGGTCTGATGCATTTAGTCAGAGAGTCATAGTCCCAATGTTTTTGGATAAAGCGAAACGCGAGTTTCAGTGGGTGGCTGAAGTCTGTATGCAGATTGCACATGGTCTGTGAAAAAGGAGGGAGTTAACTTAGGAAACAGCACTGATGCCGGCGCTTAAGTTCCACAAGGAAAAAATCGGGCTCAACATGCTCCTTCTAACCTCGCTTAGTGATCAATGGTATAGATGGTCGATCCTCATCAGCGCCTCAACAGTGTCCACCCCAGTGGTTCATATTATTAGGGGGTGAACCACTGAAAAAAACATCCAATAATGCCAATGGAACTATACGGGATGCCGTGATGACCTTGTCAAATCTTTATGACTATCCACGTTGACTGCTACGGTACCAAATTCGCGAATCTCGAATATCGGGGGCAGGTGTTTTTAAAATAGTTTTGGACACATGGCCATCCTTAGCGTTTCACCCACTTCTTGCATTTATTTGGAACACCCGAACAATAACCGCACTCAACCCGCCCTGAGACTATTCTCCGCTCGATAAGGTCTCTCTAAGTCATAAGCTGACCATCGCGCGTGACTCAAACTCGGAAAGCAGATAGCCATAACGGTTCCAGTACTCAACGGTGTACGGATCCAGTACTCCACGGTCTACGACCTCGGAGAAGATGTAGAAAGCCCCGTCAATGGATCTGCATCTACTGGAGGAATCGAGGCAAGTCGGCCTTTCTGGCAATCCTTTAGCTATTGGTTCATCTCCTTGCTCTGACTCATCTAAGCAAAAAAATACAGCAGAAAAATAAAGTCAGTTGCGTTATTGCGAGAGCAGATTAAGGCAGAGGAAATGGAGAAAGATTTGCAGCTTATGCGGGCGCGTAATCAGGTGCGTCTAGCGGAGTTAGAGCTGGATTCGGACGATGATTCCATTGTTGACGTGCAGGTTGACCTGCAAGGCAGGGTAAAGGATTACCTAGCGGGGATTGTAAGTTGCACACCCATATGTGAGGCACCAGCGGTCCAACCGACCTCTTGCCTGGTTAAGGCGGACCTACCTGGAGTGGACTTAGAGGCTTTCGATGGCAACCCAAGGTGCTATTGGAAATTTATTCAACAGTTCCAATATTACACAGAGGATAGAGTGCAAGATAGTGGACAGATGATGCTATATTTGATCAATTACTGCAGAGGTCCTGTGGAGGCAGCCGTGGCTGAGTGCGTAATGTTGCCTCCCGAGATTGCTTACGACAGAGCGGGAGAAATACTTAGGGATCTCTTTGGGAGAGAACATATGGTGGCCAGAGCCATACTGGACGATCTGTTCAAGAAATTGAAACTGTTGCATGACGATGCAGATTCATTGTCCCGTTTGCCGTTAAATCTTCAAAACTGTCACGTTGCTCTGAGNTCGTTTGTCGATAAATCTTCAAAACTATCACGTTGCTCTAAATCAGATGAATCACACTAGTGATATGAATTCCGTCTCGACCATAGAGCGTATCGAAGGATGCTCGTCGAAACTGGGCAAGGTTGGCTGACTCTATGGACAACCTTGGAAAACAGATAGGTTTCTCTGACCTATGCAACTTCGTTTCTCAAGAGGCCCGCACTGCTCGAAGTCGCTACGGTATGCTTACCATAGGCTCAGAGCACCATCGTCCTCAAACGCAGCATCATTGGGTAGGCAACGAAAGGCGCCATAGTGTATTCGCCGTTCAGAAGGGAACCGATGACTCGTGCCCCTTCTGCGACAGAAGGCATGAGCTGACGCAATGTCGTGGGTTTACTGACTTACCAATGCAAGCAAGATGGCGTTTGTGCAACTCGACATCTCAGACGGAATCAAGAACCGGCCTTGACATCGAACCGGTTCGTGTGAATGGCCGCAAGGCAGCATTCTCACGCACGCATTGTTGGATAGTGGGTCGGACGTAACATTGGTTACGAAGGACTTGCTTGAGGAGGTTGGTCTGACCGGCACTCTAACAACTTCGAATTTATCAAAAGTGAGTGGGACCTCTACTGTAGAGGATGTAAGTCTCAGAATCGAGTTTGAACCTGTAGATTCATGTAAGACCGTAGCGGCTGAACAAGCCTTTGGAATACGCTCTCTGCATATCAGCCCACCGGTCATGAGCCCAACGAAGATAGCTAGCCAATATGATCACTTAAAGGACACTACCTTTGTGGAGCTTCCAGATAAGCGTGTGAAAATATTGATAGGAGAAAATGTTCCAGAGGCACACTGGTCTATTGAGAAAAGGTTGGGCAAGCAGAAGGAACCCTACGCTGTAAAGACACCTTTGGGTTGGTACTACTTGGTCCGTTGTCTACAGGACATAGTGTTTGGAGACATGTGCACCATGTAAGTACGAAAGATGATGACATCATTACTCATCTAGAAGCTCTGTATGAGGCTGATTTCAATTATTTAGAGACTCCGGGCGTATGCCAAAGTGTCCAAGACAAAGAAGCGCTTCGAATTGTCGAAGAGTCTTCAGTGTTCAAGGATGGTCATTACGAAGTACCATTACCGTGGAGAACGGCTGAAAGACTTCCTGACAACTATCGTCTAGCCCATTCTCGATTACAATATATGAGGAGGCGTTTTGCAAAGGATCTGACTAATTTAGCGCGACACAGCG